ATTAAAATATAGCTTACGGTTTCGTCATGTGTGCTGATTTCGTAGGTCGATCTTTTATCTAGAGGTATTTCCGTTGATTGTTTTATTCTTATACTACACATGAGGTGTTTTTATTGTACTTGCAAAAGAGGACAATAATGTCAAATAGCTAGTTATGTGCATAACATTTTGCTGACAATTTATGTGTAAACTACTGTTTTTTTGATGTTTAATCCAGATATCACATGATATCATTCGTCTGAACAAAAAACACATCCACCCATTAACTTGGATAGTCACCGAACCTGTTTCTTTTGCTTCGGAAAGTGCTGACGTTGATGCATTCCACCTGTAGACAGAGGGCGACTTGGAACACCTGATGAAGAGTTATGATTCGCCGGACTTTGAACGTTTTGTGAGGTGCCGTTCGCAGTGTTATTTAGGGAATTCTTTTTTGATTTTATTCGTTTGATTTGTTGTTGGGTATAATGACTAAGTCTTGAGGCGTAATCATTTTTGGCCGCTTTGATCATGGCCTCAGTTGGTTCCGGTATTGCTGCGTTCGACGCTGTGACCACCTTTACAGACGAATTAGAGGGTTGGAGATAGGTTGCCATTTTTCGTTTAGTTAATAAAATTAATTTCTTTTTTTATTTTATTTTATGAGACAAGGGTACAAAATGATTTTGAATTTTTAGATAAAAATTTGATGCAAATAATATATTGATGGGAATGAATATGCGAAGGTATTTACAAGATATCAGTGTGGCAGGCAATATCGAAAGGAAAATAGGGGACAGGTGCTTGTATTTATACAAACGTGTCATATATTATACTATATGGATAAATATATGCATACGTACAGTACTACAGATATCAATATATATCGAAAGTTGTTTGTTTTTCTCACTATAACGTATGTTGATGTCATTATGCATGGCGTGCTTTAGCACACTAAGATCTGATGATCACACGTACATATTCGTGTATGTTAAAATACGTATTTATTTGTAACTCAACATTCTACAAGCCCTAAGTAGGTATTTACACAAATGTCTTATTAAAGATTAGAAAGTTGGCAATGACATTATATCTTCGGAGTCGGACCCTTGCGTCGGATCAAGCGCAGAATTAATGAATTAAATCAATTCACGTATAAGGTGAAATTCAATTATGCACATCTGTGTATAATCATTTTAACCAAATGCTTTACAAACTCTCGCACAATCATATCAATAAGGAACGTGCGATTGATGCAAGCCGAAGGCTTCTACTACATGGTAATGGGAAAGTGCGCCTTCTAAATGCTTGCTTCTTGACTACTATTATTCAGCCGGTTGGTGGCGTCAACAGATGGATTGGGTATTGACTATTTCGTAACAGCCGCTTAAAAATGTATTGTATATAGAGATTTCTAAAAAATTATTTACTTTTATTTTAAATCTCACTTCATGTGATTAGAAGACGTGGACCAGACTTTCACTCCGAAAGCATGTGCATTTTAATTTCCTAAAAATTACCCCTAGTGGTAAAGATTGTCCGGGTTGCTGATAAATTCTTTTCTCCAAAAAATGAATGTGATCTCGATTGACATAATTTGTATTATAATATAATGTCTTGATATTTTCTACCCCAGTCATACGACGAGCCTTTTACAAATAAATTTCTCTTTCTCCACCTAATATTGTATATGCAACGACTTATAAAGTAGATCTTAACTAAGCACTCGGTCGGAAGATTATGATATATTACTAAGCCTTCCCTTCGAAATTAAATGGAACATCCCCTTTTCCATATTCGATCCACAATAGAATCCGCTTTCCTATTATATTTATTTCTTTTTTTTTTCTGGGGGAACGATTTTCGTCATGGATCCATCTCCTGACTCTTTTTATTACGTATTAAAAAAATCTTTTTGATTTGATCTTATGATTTTTTGATGTTCTAACCATGGACCTCTAACCCGTAATATCAATTCTGACCGTCCACATTGTTTCGAACATTCCTTTTCTCATCATACTATGCTCAATTTCGTTAACCTCTTTATTTTTGAATAAAACAAACATTGAAAAAATGTGCATACCGATATCGAAGATGACGAATTTTATTTATTATTATTTTTTTAAAAAAAAATTTTTTTATTTTAACAAAACCTTCATGGTTCTAATTCTAAAAATGATATTATTACAAAAAGCGGATAACTATACATGGATAAAGGCCGAAACTATAAATAAATCTGACGAAAAATAATTGAAATTAATTTTAAAATTATGATATCATTGTTTTTTTTTTTTTTTTCCTTCAAAAAAATTTTTTGATTGTAGTCGTATATCTTCCGAAACTTTAAATACTTCGAGAATGCCGTGTAACCTCGGATGTATCATCTTTCGTTTTCAAAATGAAATAAAGTTGATTTTCGCATATAGACATATGAAACACTGCACTTTATATTCTATTCTTAATCACAAAAACCGCTAAAAGTTCTTAAAATAAAAATATCAGATTGCTATCTAATTATTCTATCGAAGCAATAACAAAGTACATACGTATATATCAAATTAACTAATAAGTCAAAAACTTTATCTTTTTCAAAAAAAAAATATTTTTATAAATCTTACATATTTTTTAATAATTATATCTTTTATTCATAATAATATTTTTCAAATATGTAAAATATTATTTGAATATTTTTAAATATTTTTTTTTAAAAAAAATCAGAATAAAATATATTTTTTTGTAATTATTAATTCTATAAAAAATCTGAATGGAATTTATTTTTATAATTATAATTATTTATTTTTATATCTTTATTTTGTTAAATTAGAAATACAGTATGATATTTGTAAGATTTATTTATTTAAATTTTTTTAAAATTAAATTAATTTATTTATTAAAATTTAATTATCAATGATTAACATAACCTTGTTAATATAATTATAATAATTTATTTAAGATCTATTTAAATTTTAATTAAAAAAACTTTTTTAAAACTATAGAATTTTAAAAATTCTTGTTATTTTTATTTATTGGATTTTAATATACATTAAAAGATTGTTTTTAATAAAACATATATATATTTCAAAAATTATTAAAAAATCATTAACAAATTAGAATATTTATATAATAATTTATAAATAAGTTATTTTTATTTAAATTTATATTAAAAAATTTAATATAAAAATAAATGATATACAAAATAACAAATACAATAATTCAATTGTTTTTAAAATAATACTTTTATTATAAATTTTTTTATATAATAATATTTATTAATTATATTTAAAATAATATTTAAATTTATACTGTTTAAAATATAAATTCTGTCTAATATATATATATATATATTATGTTTATATATATTCAATAATATTCAATATTCATATAAAAAAAAAATCTTTTTTATACATATTTTTTTTAAAAAAAAAATTCTTTTATAGTAGACTTTCTTCAAAATTAAAAAAACAAATATTTTTTCTTCTTTTAATATCTAAAAATCCTTTATACTTTTTTTTTCTTTATTATAAAAGTCTTTAAAAAAATTAAAGAAATATACTAATACATTGAAATAAAATCTCTGGCCAGAAAAAAACAAGTATAAGATTTTTTTTAAAAAAAAATTACATAAAAAAAGACTTGTAACAGTTCTTTTTTTACAAATTTTCTTTGAAACTTTTTTATTTTTTCTTCTTTTTAATATATAAATTCTTAAATAATTATATTTTTTGCTTGAAAAAATTTTTTTAATTCAAAAAATTAAACTTTATATCAAAACTGTATATATTATTAACTTGAAAAATCAATAATATATTCAATACTTATCTTTTATTATTGTTTAGCTTATTTTGCTACATCATCAAAAAAAATTTTTTTTTATATTAAGGTGAGACGTATCTCATGATCTTTATTAATGTTGTAATTATTATTACATAGTTAATTCTAAGATATGAGATATATAGACAAAATTAAACTAAGTACATATTAGTCTATCACCTATTGTAGTAGATATATTTTTAAATAAAAAATCCTAAAGCAGAGAAAAGTAAGAAAGGAACTATCTATGAATATTAATATACAAAAAGGGGCAAGATCACCTTGTGTAAAAAAATGTATTGATGTAGTGATTTGGAAAGTAAATATATGAATGTGAAGTCACTATATATGTTAAATTTAAATTAGGTTTACTCCCTCCCCGAAGCCATATATAATTGGATATATTTTAAATGAAAAAATTATGTAGAGATAATATATGTTAAGATTTGAAATTGTATTATCTTTGAATTAACAATCCCTCTTGCAGAGCACAAACCAGATGTGTCTATCTAAGCTATTACTTTCTTTTTGATAGTTGGACATAACTCCAGCAGCAATAGAGGAGTACTACTTAAGCTGTCAAATTATGGGACACAACTCCTTGGTATTTCACTTCCACTTATAATAAAAGTGTTTTACTTTTATTCATATTAGTTAGGCTTTAATTGCTTTTTTTCTTTAATGGTAACATTGCTACTCGTAGGGCACAACTCCATTGTTAAGATAATATAAATTAGTTATGTGATTGGTAAAAGAGTATTGTAATTGAAATATATGTGAGTTGAATAACTAGAGCCTGTTCCAGTTGATTGTTGTGTTTTTTGGATACATATTAAGTAAAGATTACCGGAACCTGCACAGGACACAAGTTATGCGCTCTCCCAATCCTGTAGGTTGTCAGTTGATCATTTGTTATTGTTATTGTTATTATTGTTATTGTGTATGAAAATTTTATTGGAAAACTGGTTGTGAACAAATTTGAACAGATTTGATGTTATTGTTAAGAAGTAAAGATATTTTATTGGTTGTTTGTTGAGTATAAATCTTTGGATAGAGTGAAATTGATTGCAATTTTTTGAGTAAGTTTAAAAAAAAATTATAGAATAATAAAGAAATGACATATAGTGTTGTTTTTAGATAGAGAAGAGAAATAATAAATTTTCAAAGGTTGTGTTAAGACAAACATTATATCCAGTAACTTTGTTTGAATGTATTGTTAGAATTAGATTTGTATTATGGAGAAAAAAAGGTGAAGGGAAAAGTGATTATCATAGTCATAAAGGGAAGGTACTTAAAGACAAGAAATTATGAAAAAAGGCTGCCACAGATCTTTTTCCATGCAACCAAGAGCTAAGGAAGACTTCCAATTTGCTTAAGTCTTAACCAGAGGTCTCATTCCAATGTAACAGTATTCCTTAAAGTCTTTGTGTTTTTTGGATTTAAAGCTTATTTGTTTTAAAAAATAAAGAGAGAAAGATGCTTCTTGAAAGAAGATTTCCTAAAAAGAAAATTTTCAAAAAATCAGCAGTAAATGGGTAAGAGTTTTTTTTTTATATTATCAAAAATTTTTTTATCAAAAAACTATAATTAGTTTGTTTTTGTTAATTAATTATTATTTTAAATTTAATTAATTAAATACTATCAAATTCCAAATCAATTTCATATAACTAAAATATTATACAATAATAGATATAAACAAATTCTATTTTGGCAATAACAGTTAAAAGAAAATTAGATTATAAACAAATAAACTAATAATTATATTAATAAAAATATTAACAATTTTAATAACAAAATATAATTCAAA